TGTTCCAACCGGGTGTTAACATCTTTTACCCCTGCTTCCCGATAGGGTGCAGTGGTAGTTCTAGCTTCGGTTTCTGTAATAAATAGCATTTTCTGGGAGTGGGTTATCAGCCCGCCGCCCAACCCCCAACCTGGAGGACCAGGGGCTGTTCTTCGTCTGGCCTCTACCCTTCGACCAATCCGGCATGGTTAGACCTGCCAGGGAACAAAGTCCCCGCCGGCACAGCTCTCCGGGTCATGAAGACACACAAGCTTCACCACCACGGCAAGGTGTCAGCCCAAGGTGAAGAGTCACTGTGAATGGGTTGTGTTTAATCTGCCTCTTCTCCCTGTCTTGTTTTGGGGCTTATTTGCCTCAAGCTGTGGATTTCCAGTTCAATAAATTGAATCACTGAAAGATTAATCTCTGTGTTGTGGAATACTTTGTAGAACTGGAAATCTCTTTTAGGGTGATACTACGTCACCATGCTTTTGATCCTCATGGCGTTGCATTCCCTTAGCTCAGTTTTGGTAGAAAAATGTAGACTCATGGTACATAGTCTAAAAAGTGAGTCTCTGATTGTTATTTTTTTTGTAGGATTTACTGGAGAAAGATCAGCTTCTAGATCTAAAGGAACAAGGTGAGTTTTGATTTCATCCAGCTATCATATGGTAGTCTTGTATATTGTTGGTATCTAATTTTCATGTTGAGGTTGTTAAGGACTGCCTAAGCCGTGCCTTCTTGTGCATGCAATCATAGTTCAAATTTTTAAAGTGCTCTTCACCACTCCCTCAATGTGTTGGTTTTAAAAATTTCTCAAGTAGTTCTTTCTCTTGTTTTTTTTTTTTTGGCTTCTGGATCCCTTATTCAACTTTCGTGGTTCATTATTGGCCAATCAATTCATCAAGCGCACAAAGATGCAATATTACTTTATTACCACAGCCACTATGATAAAGGAATCTATGGTAACAGTTGCGTGCAATTGATCCACAACAGGAAAAGTATTTGTGGGATTCACTGAACCTCCAATCAAATTCTTACCGAGTTACAAGCATGACATACAGAGCGACAACTATGACACGTCATCTAAAAACAGGACGCCTTCTTGGACGGTGAGTAAATTTCCACCCCAGGGGGGGACTCTCATATAAAAGGACAGGGGTGGGCTTGTCGTACCTTTTAGGGGTTAGAAACGCGGTTTTGGTAGCTCTTAGGGTGTTAGCCACAAATGGTCCACAACGGGCGCTTTTGCGGTACTTTTTAGGGTATTGAGNGTGTTCAGCCTCAAAATGTCCACAGCAGGAGCTTTCACAGCAGGAGCTTTCACAGTGCTTTTTAGGGTATTCAGCCAAAAAATATGACCGGAGATGTTTGACAATCAGCTGATTTTTTGTTTTGTCTCATTTACATCGTGAATTCACTCATCAGTAAAAGAGTGTACATGTGTTGTTTTAGAATTGGCACCTCTTAGGGGTGAAAAAAATTTCAAGTCATGCCCACGAAATAGGTTCTTGGTACCTCTTAGTTACTGTAGGGTTTCTTTTCAAAATTTCTGNCCCCCCCCCCCCCCCGGCCTATGACGGCATATATGCCCGGACAAAAGCACTCTTGTTTGTGAAAATGAGGTCAATTATGTACGGCACCTAGGTGGGATGACGTATTTGAGTGCTTTAAAGAAGCGCCTGAAACAGAGTTTAGAATTTATTTTCTTGTTGTCTTCCAGGACCGTGTTCTTTACCGCAGTAGAGATCCATCAAGTATCCAGCCAGTTATCTACAGCAGTTGTGTTTCTGTCAAGACGTCAGATCACAGGTAAGAAGGTAAATCTGCCATGCGCGTGATCTCTTTTTAAAAGAGCTTTGCCGTCTGTTTGAAGCCTGATTTTGATGAACTAAAAAACCACTCCTCGATTTGAGGAAGCGCAACTACAATTCCTTGGATTTCAGATTTTGACAAGTTAGTCCATTAGAAAGAACGACAACTAGCAACGGCAAAAATGAAGAGGATTACATTGTAAACGAATTTGAAAGGTTCGGGTTTCATAATAATAGCACGGTGAAACATTCTGTTATTTGGAACATGGAATCCATTTCTATCGTTTTAGAGGTACCATTACTGCATTCACACCAGACGATAGCGCTACTTTCATTCGCGAAACGAAACCAAGAAAGTTTCCCAATACGTTCTACCCAGCAACTGCTTGCAAGATCAGCTCGTATGTTTTAAGAGTCCTGTTTTATAAGTGTTATAAAGTCAGTCACTTGTTAAGTGATGACGTGGATATGTTTGCGCTCATGGCTGTCTCTTTCATTTCAGGCCAGTATTTGGTATTTACCAAGTCAAACTCAATCCTTGCCGGGAAAAGTAAGTGCTCCACTTGACTTGTGTTTTTTCCCCTATATATGTTCTACCCAGGTAACAATTGTGATTTTATCTTTACATGACAGCATTCCTCTGACTGGAGGCCAGTACATCCGGGATGTTTATGTGGAAGGTACGTGAATTTCAAACTTTGACAACAAGACTCAGTCTAGGCTCGATTTCCGCCGCTCTCTCGTGTCCGGTCTACGTTCCTCCCCGAAAAGAGACGGCTGGACGTGTGAGCGGCAAACCATGTCTGTGACTGCAGTTGACTGATTGGCTAAGACCAACAAAAGAATCCTCACGCGTCCAGCCGTGCCTACGGGGGAGGAACGCGGGCTCCTTTCCCGAACAGCGGCTGGTAATCGAGCGTAGACATCAGTCTAACTAGAATGATCTAAATGATCTTAATGACAAACATGAGAGCTGATGTAAGCTGCAAGGCCTGCGAATGGTTCTACATGTGTCACACGGCTGGGAGGTAACCGCTTAGTCTTCGTTTTCCATGCAATGCTGTTTTGCTTTGAAAAATGAAATAAAAAAACTTCCTCAGGTTCAGTCTATTCTCAGAGACGGGACTTCGACCGAGGCTTAGACTGTACTTCGGTGCTGTGACCCCAGGAAGAGAAAGATATTCATGTGCTGTCGTTGTCTGTTCGTGAAAGTCAAGTTTTTGTTGTTGTTTTTGTTTTAAAACAGCCAACCGCAGGCGATCACTTGGACCCAGCTCTCAAGAACAGAGTTCTGTGTGCGTCATCCTATGACAGCTGTTAACTGGGCCCCGATCGGGGAGACACCTCGAACAAGCCTGAAGAGCACATCTGGATGACACCTCCACGGCATACGGCGTCGGAAGCGTGTTGCTCTAAGAGCGGGAGACAAGTTATTTAACATATTGGATTCAAATGCAGCTCATTACATCATTGTACATAATTTAAAATGTGAAAGATTGAGTTATTTTAAGCTACCTTGAAACCCAGTTTCGGTAATTTGGATATATGTAACGTTTTATCTTGCTTTTGTACTTAAAAAAGGTGACGTATTATTGTATCCATGCGTATACAATGTAATGAGTAAAGCAGTCGTTCATTTTCGCACTCGAGGATCTTTTATGCATATAGAAATGAAAACCTTTCCGTGCATCTCTTTTACACAATTATAACATTGCTTTTACTTCCTGCTAGCTTCATCTTGGTAATTATAGTCAATGCTTGCTATCAGTGTGAATGGCATGATTATACCATTGTTAACACGTTCAAGATAGCCTCGTACCTGATAGAATGTAAAAAACAGACATAATAAAATAATAAATCTGCCTGGAACTCCATGTGTTTTTATTTCTTGTCTGGCCTGTACCAGCGAAAGGCTATTTCCGGTTCCTCTCGGCCAGATTCCTGGTTTTTAGTGCTACAGTTTTCCTGAAGAGGCCATATGGCCGCGAGAGGAGGTAATAAGGAAATGAATGTAGACGGTATCCTATTACAAGCTTTTTATCCAATCAGAGATTAGACTAACACTATGACGTCAGGTGACGACGTAAGGTGAAAGTCTTACGAAAAACATTGGGCTCTGTGAATTCTCAAAAGAAAAACAAACAGACAAACAAACAAAACCATTACACTCGATGTTGCATTAGCTTGATGCCACGACAAGAAAACAGAGGCGACATCGATTAATTAATTGCCAGGAAAAAGGAGAGAGACTAAGGGATTTCCATTCTAGTTCCACAATGCAATAGCATAAGAGTGAGTGATAAAAATTGGATTTCTTTTTGAGATGTACGTTTAAAGTAAAGTTATAGTGTTTTCAATTCTTGGGCAAAATTATCTCTGTCATACGAATCATAAGTGTTCTTATATTAAACTTAACTCGTGTAGAGGGACGAACAACACTCGATAACAAATATATCGAAAGATTACAGTCAGCGTGCTAGTTACATCTGTATATAACCAGCAAGCATGGAAATTTACGCGGTGATATCAAAAGATAATTGACCCATATTGTCCACTATCTGTACTCTTGATAATCTAACTTCTTATTCCTGAATTTGCTTGGTGTATCTGGCCACAGCCTTAGTTCCTTCACTGACTGCATGTTTGGCCAGCTCGCCAGGAACAACCAAACGAACGCTGGCTTGCATGTCCCTTGACGAGAGCGTGCTTCGCTTAATATACTTGCTGAGCCTCCCGGCCTCGATCGCTATCCTCTCGAAGAGATCGTTCACGAACGAGTCCATGATGTTCATGGCTTTTCTAGTGATACCGAGATCCGGGTGAACTTGTTTAAGTACCATATTGATGAACCTGGCGTACGATTTGTGTGTTTTCTTTGGCTTAAGTTTTCCTTCTCGTTTCGTCTTGTTCCTCTTGATGTCGTTCTGTTTGGGCGCTTTGCTCGTATCTGGTATGCCGTTCTTCTTTGTTGTTGTGGCTTTTCGTCCTTTAGGAGGCATGTTGAATGTTTCACGCAATCGTTGAGGTTTGATTCACTTGGTGGTTGGACTCAATGTTGATCTGACAAACTAGCGTTTCTACTGTACATGTTACCTCGTTAATCATTCAACTTTTGAATTAAGTGGTTCAGGGGTGCCACGCAACGTAATTCTTGCATGGTGTGGCTTACATTCTTTGAACAAAGAGCATGTGCTTAATGAATGTTACAGTATTTTATGCAAACAGGAGAAAGCACACTTTTCGTGCCTATTTAAAATAATTCTTTCCCCCACTTTGACTGGCCGAGCAAAAAAATTGAAATTCTAATAAGCAATTTCAGTTGCTTTTTAGCTCTGTTTCAAAACGAGTTCGGTGTACAAGCTTTTATATGGAAAAGAGTTTGATTTGCCAGACAATGAACGGTCAAGAAAAACTCGTTTCCGTATGAAAGGTTGTACACCAAGACTCGCTTTTAAACAGAGGTAAGAGTAACTCATTGCAACTTAACTCATGCAACTTATTGCTTTACCGCTCAACTGACGGCCTAATTGACTGTGGAACCGGAATGCGCCCCCGGGGAATGCGCCGTATCTAAAAAAATTGAAGGTTTTTTTATAAATCAACAGAACTTCTTAGAGCTGAAACGTGGCAATTAGATATTCTATACTGAGTATGGTTCTGAATGATGACAAATTTTATGTTTGCGGGTCATGAAAACTTATACTTTAGCTCGATTCCAGTTGTTTGGGTTTGTTTTGGTAGGCAATAGAGCGATCATTTTATTTACTCAACACCCGCAGTATCTGTGCTATTTTGCTCTATATTTGAACGCAGTGTATTGATGGCTTCAGTCTTTTACTACAAAGATATATTAGTAAAGGTAACGATGCAAAGAACCCAGAAATTCTNTATTGATGGCTTTAGTCTTTTAGTACAAAGATATGTTAGAAAAGCTAACGATGCAAAGAACCCAGCAATTCTCAGCTTTTTCTTTGTTACCGAAAGAACCCAGTGAAATGCAGCGCATGCACAGTTGCTCGAAAAATTGAGTCCGATTGCTTTTGCAGAAACTTGCCGATTTCTAACGATCCAGTCGTTAGAATTTCAAGAAATTTGGCAAAAAAAATAGTTCAGAAACCACGTGAATGATCTATGACAAAAAGTCTGAATTTTGACGTAAGGAATTTTTAATAATACAGAACATGCAGTGAAAACGATTTACGGCGAATTCCGAAAATCGTCTATGTCAAAATTTTATTAGAACAGTGTTGACAGAAGGGATTTAATGTCAGTTCGTAGTGGGCAAATGATGAAAAAAATCTAATGACTGGATTTTTTTTAAATAAACAAAAACATTTTTTGAGCCTTGTTTTTACCCAGCTCCGTTGCCATGATAACAGTACACACCTTAGCCAAAATGCGAGAATAAACCCTTCTGTGGTTAACCTTGAATCTTGCAAAAAACGGGACACAAAGCATAAATAGTTTAAAAGTAATGGTGAATTAGGCGTAGGCACTTGAAAACTATGTTCGGCCACCTTAAGGTCACTCCTTTTTCCGTAGAATAAGGCGAAGAAGAGTATTGATTTAGCCCATCGGCTGGCATGGCTCACCGCTTTCGTGAAAGTTTAACAGGAATTGTCCGTCAAACAATAAAGAAAAGCGATTACTACTGCTGGAGCGTTTCATTTTTGCGGTCCGTGGTGGATACCTAAATTATCACGACCGGTCTGGGAACCAATCAGAATCGCGGACCTCGTGCCGTCACTGATACTGTTCAAGTTCTGTTTTATCTTTCATCACAACGCTTGACCTAAAGAAATTCGTTTGGTCTTCTCAATACGAAATTAGCTTTTCCTTCTTGTTACGGACTAAAGATGCTCACGTGATTCGATCGCTGGATCCGCCAAACCTTCCGGACCCTTCCCGGAAAATCTGTTTCGCGGAGAATTGGTAACGATAAGATTATAATCAAGATGGCGGACGAAGAGAAGTCAACTCTCCCGGGGTCAGCTCGCCGTATCTTTGTGGTGGACGCATTTACAGACAAACCTTTTGGTGGAAACCCAGCCGCAGTATGCCTTGTAGGATCGAAAGTTAGTTAGCTTTTAGATAAATGATCTGGTAGAGTGTTAGTACAAATCCTCTGGGTTTCAACGATTTTGAAAAAGTTGCGTCGGCCTGTGCACGTGCGAAAGCTTCGAAGCTGGTAAAGCCTGCTCCATTGAGAACACTTTAATACTGTTTCGGAAAATTAATTTATTGTTAAGGATGCGCATAAAATCTAAATTATACCAATGGCAGGGCACTTGGAAAGGATTAGTGTCTACAACAAAAAGAGAAATATCACACAGAGGAGTGCAGGACCCTCCCCCTGGAGGGTTCTGGAGGGAGAATGGGAGGGTTGGAGTCTAGGCTATCTTTGGTTGGATAATTTAAAAAATTGCATAGACATGAATGGTCATAGGAAAATAAAAACGCAGACCAGTACGTACTGCTAAAAGTGGGAACACCCACCTGTCTACCATACTATTCCCACACCCTCTCCCTAAGGAAAGGGGCTACTCCCTTGTATGGGCTGAATGGGTATGTGCGGCCCCAAGGGAAATGGTATTTAGCAGTTTTAGTCAGAAATAAGGTATCGATTTTGGCCATTTTGGTCTCAAATAGGGTCTGGTTTTAGCACTCTAGTCTTGAATTGGGTATGTTTTTCAGAAGAGGCTACTTTTTCATTATCAGCAAGACCATCAACAAAAGCCCTTCACAATGCATCTAAACTAGGTAACTAATTATAAGGTAGGTCTGAAACAGGGTATTGATTTAAGGGTCAGGTCATAAGTAGGATAGGGAAAATCACTGAGGGATCCTCTCGCCCCCTCTAGCTGTACAAGTCGCTTTTAAAATAACATTGCTTAGAATTTAACACAATGAGCATGGTTTTTAATTTTTACAAAATAGGTGTATAGAGTTAATTTTTAAAATTAAATTCATTAATATCATCATGCATTTATCAGATCATTATCTTGTTTTCTGTCCAATTCAGGAATTAAGTGATGACATCTTACAGAAAATTGCCAAAGAAATGAACTTGTCAGAGACTGCCTTTATTACAGAGAAAAATAGCCAAGACACCTACAACAAAGGTACTAGTAGCTCTTAAGACAAATGGCATTGTTTTGTTTTTTCAGTCCTCCTCTCTCTTTGAACCCCTATCTTTTAGAATTTCATTATTTTATTTTGCCTTGCTAGGATCCTGTTTTGGTCTGCGTTGGTTCACACCAAAATGTGAAGTACCTTTATGTGGACATGCAACCCTAGCCTCAGCAGCAGTTTTGTTCAACTCACTAGGTGAGATGAGAGAAGTGTTTCTACACAGTCTGTAAGGACTGAGGTGAAATACTGTTAGTAACAGCATTTCCTTTGTTAGGCTGTGTTTTAGTTAAAAAGGAGAAAAGCTAAAATGGTGAAATTCGATATCTATTACTGTATATATACGAACTTGGCCACATCTCTAGTGGTTCACGTTAAACATGACTTTTGGTGCGATAATTTCTTTGCACAATTTAGGGAACCCAAACAAAGAAGTGACATTTGAAACTTTAAGTGGAAATTTAATGGCAAGAAGGCAAGGTAAGCCATAAAATTTAAAATTTATGTACTGTATTTCCCAACGTCAGTTATAAAGCCATGTAATGAGCCTAGAATAACGGCCCTCCCTAACAGAAGCAGTAGTGACACAGTTATTGACACTTGTAATGGTAAGTTGAGTTTTCTACAGAATGTCACAAAAAGTTA